CATAGATACCATTAGTATCAATAATTATTTAAGATTCACTTTTGAGAAAGTCAGCATTCTAAAGTCTGTGTGATACATCCTGCTTTGAAACCTCAGACTTCCCATGGATAAGATTGGACACTAGTAATATTTTAGGAAAATGTCACCTGGTATTATATTCTTAATTTGAATTTGACACAGAAGAAATCATGGATGCAATTAAGATAGTAAGAAACAACTTCCTTCATCCTTTAATATAATAACTCTTCCCAAGGATTATAAGAGTTTATAGACAGATGAAGCACGTGGTTTTAAAGTTAATTGGACAGGGAAGAAAGCTGTTATGGACAGTTTCAGGTTTTCTTGGATTTTTTTTGGTATCCGTACAGATTTTTTTGGTATGGTAGCAGAGACCTGATGAGTTGCCAGTACATAACAAGCCAGAACCCTGGATCCAGAGAGCATTTGTGGTGTACAGCCAATGCAGAACTGCTTTCCCTCCCAAAGGGTGGTCTCCAAATCTGTCGTAGCCTTTGGCAAGATGTTTATATCACAATTGAAAACAGATGCCCTTTTGGCCCTTCTCCCTGTTGTCTGAGTTACTACTGTTCGGGGGTGTGTGCCATGGTGATCTCTCATGCACGTTCAGGATGCCCAGCAAGAGTTCCCATTAGACATTCCTATTCTGAAGTCCTGCTGTGAAACACTGCAATACACTACAGACACAAGGTGCCAGGTTCGTGAGGTCCTGATCATATCTTCAGTATGTTCTATATGTTTCTCGTCACAAGTCAAATCTTAAGGTTTAATATAAAAAAATATTTCGCCGGACAGTTTCTACTTTAGAATATTTAATCCTAAAAGACTGTGTAATCCTAACGGAAAACCAAAGAATACTCTTCCTGATGGACTATATTCAATTCTATTACAGGATAAGGCCCTAAAATGTGCTTATATTGTATGTATAAGACATTAAGAATCTAGAGTATCAAAAAAATCACTTTAAATTCTTGATTAAAAGAGATTTATTGGATGTAGTGACAAAATATAATGTGTAGAGATTTTGTTTGGATCCTGGTGTAAATCAACTAACATTTAAATGACAACTGGGAAATGTAAATACAGACTGAATATGAGATGATATTAAAGAATCATTGGTAATTTTGTTAGGTGTGATAATAATATGTAAGAAAATATTTTTATTTTATAGAGATGCACACTTAAATATGTAGGGAGGAAATGTCACATCTATAATTTATTTTAAAACACTTCAGCAAAATATCAATGGAACAAATATGGCAAAATATTAATAATTGTTCAATCTAGGTGAAGGGCTCTTAGAGTTCACTGTAGTATTTTCTTCACTGTTCTGTATATTTGAAAATTTTTATAATTCAGAGTTCTTTTTTAAAATCTTTGCAAATCAGAGTATAGTAGTGATTTGTCAGCTAAATAGCACTACTTTAAGATTGTAGTGGATATTGCTTTATTGTGCCTTTTGTGCTACAGTCGTAATAGCAGTGGACCTGGAAACTAGATGATTTCTTCATAAATGGGACATTATAATAAAAATGAATCAATATTCTCTCCTCACGCCCCACCCCCATCCCCACTCCCATGTTCTTATTTTGTTAACTTGGCTTATGATTATGGGAAGTGAAGTAGTTCAAAAGCAAAACTGAAATGCATGGAATCCTAAAGCTGGTATTTTAAACATTTTGTTTCAACCTCAATTGAAAAAAAAAGAACAATCTTAAAGTACAGTTACCAAAGTTATTTTCCTTCTTTTCAAAATGTATATATTTACAACCTAGATTATATCAACATATGTCAAATTATTAACTTGTCTCAGGTATGTACATGCCAGATAATGGCCTACCTTTTTCCTTCTCTGTTCAGAGATTTTGAGGAGTTATTGTTAAATCTACCTATGCTTGCTCTTTAGACAGTATGTTTTTGCTGACAGTCTATGTCAGTATTGGGTATTGGTAAAAGTATTTTTACCTTGGGATATTTTGATACCCAGACTCTAAATATTCTCATTTCCCTTGAAGTTATTGGTGGACATAACAAATTCATACTGCAGTGTGGGCTAATTCACACATGACTTGGCTACTGAGGAACAAAACATGTTTGTTTTTATTCCCAACTACATTTAACTTGTAAGTCCTTTTTTTTCTTATTTTTCCTCCATACTTGGCATCAGTAGTTGCAGATTCAGTACCAAAGGAAATCTTGCTGCCCCCTCTCCTCAGCCTCAACACTAGTAAGCTGTGAGCACGGGCACCTCATTTTCTTTAAAGCCACAATGCCTATATGGAGACATCTTAATTTTGAACTTGGATTAAAAATCAAGTCCTAATCATATCATCATCAACACCAGACACCCATCAGAGCCCCTGTCATGTAAGGCGCTGCTGAAGGTGCTATGAAGTAAAAGGTTGTAGTTGTGGAATGCATGGAACTAGAAGACTGGGTTTCTGTCTCAGCTGTTAGCTTTGTGGAGATAGGAGAAACCATTATTCTGGGAAGTACATGATAAGCACCCAAATGAGTGCCATGGACTTCAAGTGTGGTACACATTCAGAGTCAAGATATAGTTTCCAGCCGGGGCCATCATGGCTTCATGGAGCATGTAAAATTTAAACTGTACCTTTCAGAAAGAGATATATTTTGACAGGGAGAAGAAGGGCAACAAACTATTTCTCTGTGGACTAATGCATATACTCAGAGGCAAGGAGTGTTTGGGTAACTACAAATAGGTGAGTTTGGCTGAAGGGAAGAGTTCCTATTGGGACTGTGCATGTTGAGTGCAGGAATTTGGATCATGGTAAACACTGGAGAGGCAGTAAGGGTTTTGAGTAGGAACATAAGTAGGGCTGTGTGTTAGGAGCTCAATCTGACAGTGTTGACCTTAAAGTAGATTGCAGGGCAGAGAGATTAGGACAGGAATATCAATTGGGTGATTGCTGAAAAATAGTTTATATGGGAAAGGGAATAAAAGTGTAAATTTGGGTAATGGCAGTGAGAATAGAAGGGAGGGATGATTATAAGACACATTGTAAAAGAATAACTGATGACTGAATTCAGGTCCTTTTTGAAAAAGAATAGGAAAATTCACATGAACTTGCATCATTTCATTGATGCAAGCAGTTACAGTTAACAGTTTAATATATCTAACATGGCTCAATTGAGAAACTTTGAAAGAAAACTTTTAATTATTAATTTATAGAAAAGCCTCACACTTATAAATACTAAACTTAAATCTATTGATTGGTTCATAAGTGGAATGTATAAGCACTTCTGAAAAACTAGTAATAGTTTAAGAGAGAAGAAACTGGAGGTAGAGCCTGGAGGAGACAGTTGTGTAGAAAAGGCTGCCTTGAAAGGATGGTCAGTGTCCTTCAGTGGAGAGACAGAGCCAGCTCCAGGTGGCTCTGCTAGGAAGGAGCTGGCAATAAATCTGCTGACCTTACTTTTCTCCCTTCTCTCTCTTGCTCGTGTTGTCCCTTTGTCCAATCTAGGTGGCAAGGGAACTGGCTGGTGTAATCCATACAGGTCAGCCTCTTGGGGGGCAGGTAGCAGGGTGGGGAAGGGCAGAGAGTAGCACTGGGGTGCAAACAAAAGGTAACAGTCACAGTTAGCTTTCTCTTTACAAAATATAACAATGTGGGAGAAGGCTTGGAGGAAGTTCTTCAAAGAATAATAAAATGGTAGAGCTGGAAGGTTCCTGAGAAGTAATTCTCAACCTCATTTTAGAGATTGGGAAATAGTGCTCTATAGAGGTAGTAACTTGGGGACAGCTGGGTGTCACAGAGCTGAGAAGAAATGACAGACCTTTCGATTCTCAGCCCTGGCTCTTTCCAGTGGGCCAGGCAGCTGCCATATATTTTCCAGAATTTTCCCAGACCCACCACACCAGCTCAGCCACTGTTCAGCACAGGTAAAAAAGTCTCAGTTGTTATTCAAGGGAATGTGTAAATAGTATAGCCATAGTCAGAGTCATTGTGCATAGTATGGAAAATACAGAAATGTGTCAAGGAGAAAATAAAATCACCCATAATGTACCACAGAGGTAATGACTGTTAATATTTTGGTGCTTTCTTATAATTTTTAATTATAAGAAATATAATTATGCATATATATGTATGCAAAATTAGTATCAATTGTACCTATGGTTTTGTATCTTGCTTTTTCACTTAATAATGAATAATTTCCCATGTAGTAAATTGTGTTGGAATCTGAGTTTTAATAGCAGTAATATTTTTTTTAATATATGTAGTATAATTTAAAATGTGTTTCTTGTTATTAGATATCTGGATTGTTTCCTTTTTCTGTTATGATAAATAATGCAGGATATATACAGATATATGTATATATATGTGTGTGTATATGTATATGTGTATACACACATATATATACACATATAAAAATAATTGTGGTTATCTCTAGGATGCATTTTTATAAATAGAATTGCCAGCATAAGCATTTTCACTGGTCCTTTCTGGTGGGTCACACTGAAAAGAATTTGGCTCTGGGGTCAGATGTCCTGATCTATTCTTCTTCTGTCACTTTCTGGATGTGTGACCTTAGGTGCGTTACTTCATTCCACTGAGCCTTATTCTCTTATCTGTTAAACCAGGATCTTCCCTCCCATCCCTTCTTCCCCATTCTGTGATGAGGACTCCATGAAATAGTACCTTTAAAGTGCACAATACGTGTTACCTCTTCCCTTCTATGAGAGGAGTCAGTTTGCACACACGTGTGTGCACATGTCTGGATGTGTCGGATGAAATGAAGAAAATATAAGATTGTTTTAGTGTCAAGTAAAAGTAAAATTAACTTCAAAAGAGATCAATTTAGAACATAAAGAATTCTTTTGGTGAAAGAGAGACCTTTTTAAAGTCTAACGTATTGCTAATGAAGACAGAAATGGAAGTCCTTGATTACTATATTTTTCTTTGCACTGAGTTGTCCAGTTAACTATTTCTAACCTGGTCCCCATCTCCTTCCTTTCTAAGTGCTCATCTTCAAACTCTACCAGCGGGCAAAGCACGTGTACAGTGAGGCTGCGCGAGTACTCCAATTTAAGAGGATATGTGAAGAGGCACCTGGCAACATGGTCCAGCTGCTGGGGGAGCTAATGAACCAGAGCCATGTGAGCTGCCGGGACATGTACGAGTGTAGCTGCCCTGAGCTGGACCAGCTGGTGGACATCTGTCGGTGAGGCCGAGATAGTAGCATGGCAGGGGCTGGGGGATGCTGCCAAAGAAATTGTTTAAATTAATGAAAAAAAAAGTAACATTTTCATATCTTCTAAATGAAAGAAGATCCCTCCTCACTTCCTATATAAGGGGCTATCTGTGATACAGAGCTGGACTTGTTTCTCCCTAAATATCTGTGTGATGAATGACTGGAGACCTGACTCTATGGTTTTATGAGGCTCCATGTTTGGAGTCAGTTCTTTACAACATCATTAGAAAGACTTTTCCATCGTTGGATAAGTAGGCATCTCAGGGAGCTTTTCTCAGACATATGGACCCTGTTGTTATTTTCTCATGATGTTTTAATCAATGCTGTCCACCACACTCAGCTCTGTCAGCATCTCCTGTTCGGTGCCTCAACTTTGCTAATTTTATTTGAGAAGGGAGAAAAGAAGGGAGAAAATGGAAAGAGGGCCTCGAGCCTGATTGGAGGGTATGGCAGAAAGGGTAGGACGGGGAGGGATGTTGCCGAAGGAATTACTCAGAGAGCCAGCATTTCCTGCCTTCCAGGTTTAAGTTAGGCAATTTGAGGAAATAAAGGCTAAAGAAAGCCCAGTTTATAAATGGTCAGTTGAGGCAGAAATGTAAAGAGGGAAACTTTCACAAAGTCGGCAAACAACTTCCTTATAATTGCTAGAGAATGGGGATAATAAGGTAGAATAGTCCCTTTACCCAGAAGGGATCTCATTGACCTTGGGAGAACTGAAAGGGAAATTGAGAGAATTCTCAAATGGCTGGATGTTATTTCCACTGTGAGAAAATAATACAGGATTGTCTGCAATTAGTAATGCAAATATAATTTACCACTTGGCGCCTATGGCTTGCCTCACTCATTGCCACATTCCCAGCCTGAAAAATTAAAAGCAAGTAGCTCTAATGATCACAAATGGCATGTGCAACCCAACTTGTTGAGACACTTGAACACAACATTGATGACAATAACTGCTGTCGTCAGTGTTTGCTCACTAAATGCCAAAAAGCCTTCCAGAGCTTTTTTTCATTATAAGCACTCTTTTCAAAAAATATCAAGAGCCCAGTAAATGGAAGGGACAAATATTGTTCTGTTTTGGACATAAAAGGAAGTGGAATGATTCGTGCAGAAATCAGGAAGAAGCGTCTTTGTCTGGATGGTAGTCGAGTAGTTTGAATCCCACCTGAAAAGCTGTGGAGGGGCGTTTGCCAGCAATTCTCTAATAAAACTTTCTCTTCCTGGGATGGTCAACCAGCTCTGGCTCTTAAGGAGCTTACCTTCTCATGGGGAGAGGGCAATTTACAATATAAATTCAGTAGTAGTGATAAATGCTATGAAAAAGAAAAAAAATAGATGAGATAAAGACTACCAGGGTTGAGTGGGTAATCTTTATGTGGAAGGGCCAAGGAGGCCTCTCCGAGGAGATGATATTTGAGCAGAGACCGGAAGGAAGCAAAGAAATGAGAACAAGTAGAGAGGCTCAGAGGTGGGTATCTGAGGTGGGGACCAGGCTGTCACACGTGAGGAACAAGAAGACTAGAGTGGTTGGCGGGCAGTGAGGCGAGGGCAGGAGGTGATGAAGTAAGAGAAGTAGTGGGGAGCCATACCACATGGGCCTTGTAGGCCATTGGTAGGACTCTGGCTTCTAGTAGAGAAAGGTGGAAGTGGAAATGTTAAATGATTCTATGCCAGATATGCCTTGAAGGAAGATTCAAGACAATTGCCCTGTGGGTGAAAGAGAAGAATCAAGGTGACTCCTGAATTTTTCTTTATTTCTGTAAAAGCCACTTTTTTGGGAAGTCAGATTTCACATTTCTGGGTCAGAATAATCTTATAGTACCATTGGCTATGAGAGCAGAAAGTGTAGAGATCCTAGAAGGCATGAAGGTTAAGTGATTTGAACAAGTTAACATACTCAGTGGAGGAGGGAAGCTGAAATGGGCTCAAGGAGGAGCCCTGCCAAAGACAATCGATTAGCCCTCCTGGTCCACTGTGGCACTTTAAAATTCCTTTAGTTTTCCTGAAGACCTGTTTGGAAACTATTTTCATGGAAAGACAACTAATTGAGTGAATGAATGAAGGATGCATATACCTGGAATACTCAGGGCACTATGTACAAGCTAAAGTCTTCACGTGATCTGAGCTAGATTGTATTCGAAAGGTGTCTCTAGGTAGCTAGTCTATAGGACAACTTATGGGAAGCTGCTTTATGACTTAAGTGGAGAGAAAGGGGAAAAAGGGATGGAGATCACCAATGCTTGCTGTTTTTTTTCAGTTGAGTCTTTTACTGTTCTTCAAGAGAAAATTAGTTGAGAATCCAAAGAAAGGGCCAGGGAAGGAGAAAGAAACTACACTTATGCTATTAGGCTGTTTATTTTTTGTTTATTAAATAAATGTAGAAAACTTCAGTTATGTGGAACAAAGTATAATAATGAAGGAAAAAGATGAAGCTTGCCCAATCATAAAATATCCCGTTTTAATGAAAATGTAAATCTTAAGAAATGACTAAATTTTAAAGTAAGATTTACTGAGGAACACAAAACAGTTTTGAAACCAAGCCAATTTGTGTGAGACAGCGCATTTGTTATTGGTTTTCCTGATAATACTTAAGAAAAAAATAGTTAAGGCCTTTTATTTCTATTTTGACACTTGTTGAAATAAGAGATGACTCATTGGTAGACCAAAAAAGGTTACAAAAGTAAATTTGCTGTCTTCCTCAGAAGCCTTTCAACAGCTTTATTCCATGGCTGTGCTGCTTAGGTCAGAATGAGGGAGAATGAAGTGCACATTCCCATTAGGATGTTCTTTCCCCATGACCTTAAGTGCTGATCTGTACACTCTGCCAAAGGAAAGGGAGAGAGCCATTTCAGCTGCTCTTAGGGCTTACTTCTCGTTGGGCCTCTGTCTTCTACTTATTATCGCCCCCAGCTAACATATATATGCCCTACGCTGGAACTACACCAACTGGTCTTCAGTGGCCTTTAGTGGCTTACATTTCTAAAATAGACTTGTAGTCATATTTTCTTACACTTTCTCATTTGAACAGTATTTGAAATCTGTGGTTTCTTCAATCTAAAGCAATCTGAAAGTGTTTCTAACCTGGCTGTAAAAATAATAGAAATTGTTCTCGAAGGTCTGTTTTTCTGAGACTCTAGTAAAAAAATCTAGACTTCAGAGCAGAAGCTAAAATTCTTTCCAGATAAAGACTATATTATTGACTATACATGCACGCACGTGTGCGTGCGTGCGCGCGCGCGCGCGCACACACACACACACACACACACATTCTGTCTCACATAATTGACTTGGTTTCAAAATTTTTATATTTCTCAGTAAATTCTACTTTAAAATCTAGTCATTTCTTAAAATTTACATTTTGCTCATTTAAAATATTTTTTATAATTGGGCAAATTATAAATTTTCCTTTATTATACTGTTTCACATAATTGAGACTTTGTAATATTAATGTAATAAAAAGTATCTGAGTATATATTTTGATATTTTAAAACAAATATAACAATCCAGCAGCCTTTTATTAGAATCTACCAAATGCCTGGAACTATGCTCGACTGAGATTAGAGAGATATAAGCTATCCCTAAATTTAAGGTTTTTTGAAATAGTTAACATCCATTTGTGTAATGTAAAAATATTTACTTATTTTGAAATAAATAAAATTGAATTGAAATACAATCCACAATTCCTTGTTTTTCCTTTTTGTAGTTTGCAGCAAAGTTGGGTCTTATTGGATCTCTCCCCCATTCCATTGTCTTGTGCCTTATACCTTAGTAAGTGCTTTATGTTCAAATCAGTTCATTTAAAAGTAGGCAGTTTTAGTCAGGCTATATAGCGTGCCTGGAAGGTCAGTTATATGAATATACTTTTCAGTGATAAAAGGATCCAAAGGAACATGCTGTAGAATCTCCATCTCTCTGCTCTTCTTGCCTTTGTTTAGTACATCGTGCTTTTTAAGGCAGAGGCTGCTTTTGTTGTTTTGATCAACCCTTCCATATTATTCCCAATCCAGTCACCACAATCATCAAAGTGGTATTTGGAGGATTTTAGGGTTTCGGTTTTCATTAACTCTTGTATTGCTTCTCTGATGATTGCCTCTCAGGATCTATATCTTTAATGTCTCACTGTTCTCCCAGGAAAAAACGCAAAAGTGAAAAGTTCACTAAACACCCTTGACTTATCTGCTTTCCATTCTTAATTTAAAGCTTATATTGGTCTCCTAACTTGTAGATCTCTCTCAGAATTTCTATGGCATATGCCAAAGGGCATATTAAACACCAGTGGGGAACACAGCAGACAGGGCCTTCGTGTCCTGTGAGTGTGTATAGCTAGGCAGGATGCTGACCAACTGCTGGGGGCAGACCCTGATTTGTGATCACAAGTGCCATTGACTCAGGGCAGAAGGTTATTTATAAGAACACTTATGATTCTCTTTTTGGGAAATTTGAGCCTTGACGATTTCAGACCACGTGGTTGATGTAGTCCAGTCCATTTTTATTTGCAGCAGGCAGGATCATGACAGAGCAGCTCTGGAGACTCAGAAATGAAATGCATTTACCTAGAAAGACTTCTAGCTTCTGCTCTCCGGAAACTGGAAGGATACTCAAGAAAATAGCTCCTCTCTCCCCACACAGCGCAATTCCTATGGATTTTACAGCCACTTAGAAACAACATTCTCAGGTTGCTCTATGTTCACTTTTGAAATTACAGCTTTCAAAAACTGTTCAAATGAAAATGTGTGAGAAAATATGCCTAGAAATCCATTGAAGACCATAAAAGACCTGGTCGACTTGAATCCAGCAAAATGGCATAATTTGGGTCTTAGAAAATCAAGTAAGAGGGCACAGTGTTCTTTTCTAGGTGATGCCATAGTCTCCCAGATACACTTGCTGACACCTCGGTTTCTCTCAGTGTTCTCCAAAGGGAGAGATAGTTTGATGTGACTGCATATGACAAATTTTTCTTTTTAAATTTCAAATCACCAAATTGCAAACTGACCCTTTGCCAGCCTGAGAACTCAGAATAATCCTAGAATCCCAGAGTCAAAGAAACTTTACAGCTAGGAGTCCGGGCTCAGTTTTAGCTACTGGGTCATAAGCTGAATGTTTGAGGGACAGGAGGAGATGAGTAATCTTTATTTATTTGCAAGCATTTTTGTTTTTTTACTTAAACATCTATTTTCACTTGAAAAGCATATTTTAATGAATGAAATAGATGATGAAAAGAAATTAATTGAGAAAACCATTGAGGGAAAAATGAATTACTGGTGTGCAATAATTCTGATGTCCTAGAGTAGGGGTAATATTATACGACATTTTCCAGGAAGTAAAGTAGGTCATGTAGATGGAGAAAGGGACAAAATTGTGCTAAATTACTTATGAAGTTTTTAATCTATGAATTTCGAATAAATTTTATGTGGAAGAATTTGAAGTATATGTTAACTTTTATTGTCAGGATAAACTGCATCTTTTAAAGGTGAGTGAGTGATCCTTATACTTTGCGTAGGATCTCTTGCTTTGGTATAAATCTTAGGTTTGAGACTGTGCCTGGTTAATGGTGACTAAAATTACCCCTTGCTAGGTAGTGGTTTATATAGGAGTTTCTATCCCAATCACACATTTCATCTGATGATAAATTCTGAGGCCAGTTGTCAGACCAGCTCCTGAAGATTCCAGAAAGTCACCACCATGTGAAGAGTTGTACAGCAATTACTTGCCATTTAGAGCCAAAACCAGGGGCTAGTTTGAGATATAATTAAATTTCAAATTACTTTCTGCAACAGTATAAATTTTCTAATTTCCTAAAATGTTTGACAACACTGAAAAAACCCACAAAATAATCTCTCTCTCCCCCTCCCCCTCCCTATCCCCTTCCCCTTCCTCCGCCTTCAGAACTTGGGTAGGCTGTGTGTTCTATAAGCACCGGGCAAATCACTCTCATTTTCATTTACAGGTTCTAATTTTTTTTTTCTCATTGTTTTAGGAAGTTTGGGGCTCAAGGGTCACGACTTACTGGAGCAGGATGGGGAGGCTGCACAGTATCAATCGTACCGGCCGACAAGCTGCACAGCTTCCTAGCAAATGTACATGAGGCTTATTACCAGAGGAGCAACAGGAGCCTAGCACCGGAGAAGCAGAGTTTGTTTGCTACTAAACCTGGAGGCGGGGCTTTGGTTTTCCTTGAGGCCTAAGCAATGTAAAAAATCTCAGAGAAACTATTCAGGGCATTTAGGAACTGGCAGGACTTCTTATGCCACAGTAAATTAATCCTCTTTCTGTTTTATATTATGATGAACGGTTGCTATTATCAAGATGTATTTCCAAAGAAATGGTCGAACACTCTCTATTCTTCATAATGATTATTTTTTCCATCTTAAAATATGTTTTCTACCAATAAGAGCCAAAATTATGGTTGGACAGATCTCTTAAAAATGATTTACTGGGATTTATTGATTTCAAGATTTCTAAAGATGAATGGTAAAAAACAATACTGACCTCATGAATTGGATTCGAATTAAACATACTGCTACAATTAAACCAGTACAACTAAATTGTATGCAATATTCTTAAATCATTTGTTTCTGGTTTCTCTTAGTATTCGTCCTCAAAGTTGTAGTCCTCCGATGTTGATGAAGATAGTGATGCCAGAAATTCTCTCTCTTGATCTTCGAAAGGCTTTTAAAATAATACATAATTAAAGATGAACAGATTTTCCTTGACATTGGATACTTGAATGTGAGAGATTCCCCCAATTATCAAGATGAGAAGAATTACTTAATTTTTTAAGAGATGAATTTAGGAAGAAAATCTCAATCATTTAATTTTTTTTAACCATGTGATTTCACATAAAGAATCACTTTCAATTATTTTGGCCCTGAGCTTTCTCTATCATTTAGCAGAGACCTTAGATAAAAGACACTTTAAGTCTTTATCTCTATTCACAGTGAAATAAAGAATTATGTGGATGATAATTCAGATAATTCGGTTTGTTCATGGAGTTTACTTTCTTCCCACTCTATCCTCCCTTTTCTCAAATGCCTCTCTATTCCCAGAGGCAAGCTTACTGTTCTGGGGAACACTACCTTGCATCCCTTTATTGTGTGTCTCACAAGGTGTGCTGATATGCGGGTAAGAGTAGGAAAAGGCTTAGAGTTGGTTCTGGGAGTGGGTAGAGTTGTTGGTGGGTGCCTGTATATGTTTATTCAAGGTGGGCAGAAATGTATGGCAATTTATCATCATGTGGTGCTGATAAATGAATGGCTTTCTCTCATGGGTAGATGATAGGAGGGCCTTCCTGAATTATATGAAGATTTAGACCAAAAAGCATTTTGGTGATGTAGTCAGATAATTGAGACAGCAGTGGTCTTATGGCATGAATTATCCAGAAAATTATCGCAATTTTCCATTATTTTGTGATTGGTTTTGTTCACTGATGTGAAACTCAAAGATTGGACACTATCATCTTGAATCTCAATTTCATAGAGGCTAAGGCAAATCAAAGTTGGTTGCTCAAAGGACAATAGTCATATGTAAAGTACTAGAAAATCCATTATTCTAATGTAAAATAAACTTCCAGTGCATTTTCATTCCTAGCAGAAAGGTAAACATTTGAGAAAGCTTAAGTCGAAATTATGAGTTTTTAAAACTCAATAATACAAAATCTAAATTGATTTAAAATTATAATCCTTTGTTTTTTTAATATCTTTCCATTCCCCACAGAAGATCTGTGGTTAGTATATAATCTTTAAAGATATCTGCATTACAGTAAAAAAAAAAAAAAAAGGCATTTGCTATCGCTTTGTTATTGTATTTAAATTTCTCACTATGAGATTTCTTCCTTGCAATAGGTAAGTAAAAATTTTCAGCTTGCACCCTGCTTCGCAGGACATAGTTGTTCAAAGCCAGGGATTCACTCTGCATTTGAACTTTTAAATCAAACCATCATCAAGTGTTATTCTAGAAATTATGAGAGGTATCAAACTCGTCTAGAAAAGATGGTGCTAGGGCCACTGGGAAAAAAGCTTCATGAAGAAGATGGAATTTGGACAGGTCCCTGAAGGATGAGTAGAATTTGGAAGCTGGGGAGTAGACATTGCTGATGAGCAAAGTATATGAGAAGGGGTAAACATAGTACATTCAGAAGGCTCAGTAGAAGTGAAGGGTTTGCCTTGGGATATAGTAGAGAAAAACAGATTGGCGATACTGGCTGGAGCCAGCTTTTGAAGAGCTCTTAAGTCTAGCATTTAGATCAGGAGTTGCAAACCAATAGCCCATAGGCCATATCTGGTCTATAGATATATTTTGTTTGGCCTTTGATTCCTAATCAGAAATTTTACAGAAGAATCTGGATTACTGATGGTGGAAGATCTGGTAACACTTTGGCCTCCATTTCTGTAGGATAACAATGAACTAGAGCTGAGGAAGTAGTTGCTTGGTTTAGATGAGGCAGAGACTCTCCAGTGTGCTACAGTTTTCACAGTGCCTTGTAATTTCCTTGATATCAGGCCATTTACCATTTATTAACTGAAGTCAACTTGTCCTTTACCACTATACCTGGGATTTAGGAATTTTTATACTAAATAAATATTTCTCTGTACCCATATCTCTAGCAGTAGTAGTTAATAAATACCAAGAAAAATGGGAGAAAGAATGTGTGTGTGTGTGTGTGTGTGTGTGTGTGTGTGTGTGTAAGTATAGTCCTATTTGTTTAATACTAAACACCCAGGTATTTTACTCCTTTCTATCACACCTTTCTGGCTTATATAAGAATCAATTAGATTATTTGACCCCTGTTTTTTGACATTCACCAGTAGCCAATGAGGATTGCTCTAGATTTTTGAATGAAAGCCTGACATGCTGAAAATAAAAGCCTTTCTCTTATTTCGGACATGATATTGTCCAACTTTCAGATTTATTGTACAATAATCTGTACATGTTCTTGCCTATTGGAAGGGAAGAAGGCCCTTCGGATTTAACAGGACTGTCCACAAGCAGAAGAGGAGGGAACACAGAAAACTGGAAAGGTGGAGCAGCGTCCTTTCTTTTCTTTCTCACTCTTGAGCCCTGTTTAGAACCTTATCATTTCTGTCTTACGTTTCCATCAACTGAGGGTAGGGACCATTCATCTAACATAGTAATTGGAATCCAATATATTTTTGTTGAATTATTAATGGAAAATAAAACATGACTTCAAACACCAATAGTTTTCTGTTAATTTGAAATTCTGACTGCAATTACAGTTTTCAGTTGCATAAACTGTCCCTAGTCAGAAGCAAGGGATGGGGATAGTGGGCATGAAGTTGTCATATAAAACAGAGATTATACTAAATGTACATATGAATGATTAAACAACAAGAATGTATTCTATCTTGCCACCGTAACTTGGATGTGAAACCATATTTGTTTATTATTGTCCAGTCTATAGAAGAGAAGCTAGAGAGAGCATTATCAATTATTTCCAAAAAAGAAACATACCAGGTTATGTAGGAACTTCTCAAAGTCATCCCCAGCTTCGTAAGGTTTCTTGGTAGCCTTTGCTTGGAGTCTAATCATGGAATAAAGAAAATCGTTAGCCAAACTTTTTTTATACTGACACCAACTAAAAGCCAACATTTACAAAGAGTTTAATATGTTGGGCACTCGTAAGCACTTTACAAATATTAATTCAATTACACTTACAACAATCTTATAAAATAGGTACTACTATTATATTATGAGGAAATAGACTTAGATAGGTTAAGTAACCTGTCCACAGTCATACAGCTAAAAGTAATAGAGGATTTAAACCCAAGCACTGTGACCTGAACCCTAAATTTCAGCCACCTGTGACACTCTGTCCCAGCAGTGAAGCATCCTCTCCAGAGAGATGGTTCACACGGTATTCCCTTAACTGATCGCACTGCCAGACTCCAGTGCAGACTTTAAGAAGTGTTGGTGGAGACAGAAGAGTAAAAGGAACCAGCAAGGTAAAGATCTGGGGGAGAAAGAGAGAGAGAAAAATGGAAAAGGCTGAAGGGCGAGGGCGCTTACTAGACTGTAAGCTCGTTGAGGATGGGAATCCAGGAATGTATTGTGATTCCGTCATCAAGTACTCATTCAAGAAATATTTATGAAGGAGATGAACAGTTGAATTGAGGCATCAGGAGCTCTTCAGAGATCTATGGATGAGGAAAGAAGCAGATATAGCCTAGGCAAGGAAGGATAGGAAATTGGAACAAGGGAGAAACTTTATTAGCAAGAGAAACACGAATGAGAGAAAGAAATGAAAAAAGATATAAGGCTATTAATTTCACTGGCAATTTTCAAGTGAAACATTTTAAAATGATTTCTTCCGTGAAATTGGTAGGAAGTAAAAATGTCTGAGAATTCCAATCATAATTTGCTGAAGCATAACATTTGGATTAGCCAACCCCTTGCAAGGCCTACTCCAGGTGTCTTTAGCATTTAGCCTGAAGGCACAATGAGTTGACCTCCTCGAGGTCTCTCGCTTTAGTGTTCTATGACTGACACATGTCCCCTCATTGCATAAAACACTTATTCTCTACTTTATCTCTGCCAACTTTATCTCCTCAACCTGAGTTTTCTCCTCACTCCTTATTACCCTATGGGTCTGTCCTTCCCTGCTTTTTCTCAAATCTGCCCTTAACAGTTTGGGTCTCTTCCTCGTAGTCCTAGGTGGACACACTCCAAAAGATCCCTGAACCCTTCTTCAACAGCACCCTCTTAGAGGTTCCTTGTCTTGCAAGTCATCCTGAGACTGGTTTGTCTCACTTTGTTAAAATCATCTATCTTCCAACTCATTCTTTTCATGTAAGCTCCCCCCCCACCTTTTTTTTTGGTAAATAACAGCTTTATTGAGATATGTCACTTACCATAAAATTCACCCTGTTAAAGTATACAATGCAGTGGTTTTTAGTACAGTTGATCCTTGAACAACCCTGGTTTGAACTGCGTGGGTCCACTTATACGTGGATTTTTTTCAATAAATACTGTTTTTGATCTGCAGTTGGGAGTCCGTGGACGTAGAGGGCTGACTGTATATATTGCTCTACGCTATTTTATATAGGGGACTTGAGCATTCATGGATTTGGGTATCCACAGGGGTCCTAGAACCAAACCTCCACAGATATTGAGAGGCAACTAAGTTTTGGGGAGTCAAACATCATGCGGATTTTTTGACTACACCTGGGGTCAGTGCCACTCTTGCATGGTTCAAGGGTCAAACTGTACATTCACAGTTTTGCAGCCATCACCACTACCTAATCTCCCATCTTTTCCTCTCCTTGAGTCTTTTCCTCTCCTTGAGTCATCTCATTTTCAGATTACAGATAGAAATTTACGTGCTGTGCTTATAAACTTAAAAGGCCCATGGGATTTATGTATCCACCTGAGTATTTTTTCCCTTCACTTTCTCCAACAATGTGCCATTGCATAAAACATATTTGAGTGCTCCTTGCACATTGACCGTAAACCTGTTCGACATTCTTATGCTTATCTTTGGTAATGAGAAATCCTGTCCTATGTAGGTTTGATTTTTAGGAACTTGTAAAATTCAGCTGGAGTCAGCTCTTATAATCTAGGTGTGGCAAAGGGGAAATCTGAGTGATAAGATTTTTGGTGAAAAGTGAGATAAGATTCTAAAGTAATGGGTCGGATTTCCTCATGTGACTGGGAGACTAGCTTTATAAGTTCCAGAATAGTGATGAGAAGTATGGCAGCGTGGCTGACACAGAGTCGTGGTCTCCCACGGGGGCTTGTTTGAAGGGCTGTACTCATTCGATACTTATTCTTGTGCACGTGGGTGTATTGGAAGAAGTGGGTTAGTCTCAGTATTTTATAGTTTTCCTTTTTATACTCTAATTTATAAAATAAATAAATTAAATGAGCCCAATTTTCCTTGCTTCAGTGGGGGAAAGATGTTTGTACGGGTAGGGAAACCAGCAGGGCTGAAGGGGGACAAAGAACTGTCCCAAGAGAGACCAGCTATGTAGGCTATTTTTCTAGTTTACATCTTTCATTAGGGCAGGGCATGGTTATGGGTTTGTTTTTAAAAAGTCCTATGTCTGGTAAAGTAAAAGGAGATGATGATAATGTTTAGCAAATAATTAAATTAGCAGAATAGGTGACTATGTGGATAAAGTTAAAATGTTACTCCAGATGAACTGTTGAGTAGAAAACCTCTTTGCAGATATTTGAGTTGATGTATTTTTACATAATAAAGCCATTGTGGTTTTATGTAACACATGTGTTCAATAAAAATGTTTTTAAGCTCTACACAGTTGAATAAGAAACGAACCTATCAAGCTCCTTGTCAATTCTTTCCTGCCGCTGTCTTAAGAATTTTATTTCTTCATTAATTCTGTGCTTTTCTCTGTAAAATCAAAGTTTAGAGTTAAATTTTAAAACAAAGTAGACATTTCTAATTGGGAAAGAATAAATCGACAATTTGCTGTCTTCCACATGCCAGTAGGTCCTTTACAAAGCAATTCTTCAGTGCGCCCTCCCCATGCGCTACTGGATGCGAGGAATTCCCCAGCACATCCATCCTCTCCTATAAATATGTCAAAGGCATCACTATGACACCTGAGCATGGACTGGACTCCACCTTGCTGCTTCCACAGGGCTCTCTTACAAGGTGTTCATTCCTGTTCTTCCTTCTGAGCATAGGAAATCTAAAGGCCGTGTGTGTGTGTGTGTGTGTGTGTGTGTGTGTGTGTGTGTGTGTAATGGGGACCCATGGGAAACCGAGGCTCAGACTTCTGTTCTGCATGCTGGATGGATAGGGACTAGCTGCCTGCTCTTCCGTTTATCTCTCTGATGTTTCCTGAACAGCATCGGGCACCCAAAAGGGAAGATGTCCATCCTTTCTCCCATTTAAGGCAATAAAACCTCTAGGCAGTGACTTTGATATCATAGGCAGAAGAATTGGACGCTGCCAATTTGTTCTTATAAAAATTGATGGACAGCCTTTCATTAAGCCATTTCTAACTTTCTGGCACATAAGAATACCATGACTGGTCACGAATGATCATTCAAATGAAGCACAAAGAACTGAAAACATTTCCCCAAGAAAACATTTTAGAAAAGACCTCTCTGTCTTGCTTTCCTCAATACCATGCCAGCTGCCACCCCAGCTCCAGGGAACTCCTTCCACTGAAGACAACTTTTCTGCTCTTCTCCCAGGGCTCATCTTTGTAAATGGACAATACATACTCCAATCTCTAGTGTCTAGAGCTCTCTCCTGGCCTATCCATGTTGGGGTGTATCCCCCAGTAACATAGTCATTCCATGTTGGGGTCACATCCCCCCAGTCCTTCCTTCCTTCAATTCCTGACACTTGCAGTGGCTCCATGGTTATGATACATCCTTAACACTTACCTGAAAAGAATCTCTGATTTATAAGATGCTCGAAGGCAATTCTCATCAGTGAAATGAGCAGCTCAGTATAGGTCAGGGGTCCCCAACCCCTGTGCTTCTTGGACTGGTACCAGTCTGTGGCCTGTTAGAAACCAAGATGCCCAGCAGGAGATGAGCAGCAGATGATTGAGAGAAGCTTTATCTGTATTTGCAGCCACTCCCCAGTACTAGCATCACCACCTCAGCTCCACCTCAGTCATCAGGCATTAGATTCTTATAAGAGCACCTGTCCCTGGTGCCAAAAAGGTTGGGGACAGCTGGTACAGATGATTTCTAAGATCATTTCTAGTTTTAAAAGGAGTCTACAATTTTATATTTAACAATAGTAAGCATCAACTTACATCCTAAAATCCTTTTGGTTTCTTGCAAATTTTCTTTTTGCTTCCTTTATAATATCATAGTAAGTTGGAGCAGGTGGTGTGATGGACTTATCATTAAGGAAAGATTTCCAATTAGGAACACTTGAGAAAGGTGAACAGTCTTTTTGACAGGGGGAACCAGGGGGCTCTAGCCTGGGCTTCCCAGTCATGAAGGGTCTCAAGTGTAAACATGAATATTATGTCTGGAGTTATACTGAGAGGACAGAAAGAAGACAGTACCCAACAGACCACTTTAAACTTGCATCCCATTATCTGGACTACACCATCCATAGAGCACTAGGACTTAAGAGTTTCATAAATCCTGTAATTACCATTAAAAAAAATTTTTTGGGTGTGCTTTAAAAGTAGCAATTTGTTAAATGTAAATAGTAAAAATGTAACACAATTTTTGTAGCCCTGTTTAGATATTTTATTTCTATATATACTGAGGACCTCAAAGTCTCTTAACCTCTGAGAGGCTCTGGAGGTGACTGGCAGCAAGTGTCGGCTGCCTCAGTTAGCCTGGGCTCTGCTTTCTGCATGAGGAAAGATAGGAAGAGGTTCGAGTAAGTGTGCTGTCAATGAAGATGGGGCTCTTTGTCCTCTCTGTTACTTGTACAGCCTGTGGCTGTGTCCCTGACCCTGGTCTTAAACTGTGTCTGTGTCTGGCAAAGCAGACACTTTCCTTCTGAAGCAGCAATTGGCAGATGACTCAAGGAGGCATCCCTCACCTGTGTTAAGACCTTAGGCTTATTGAAAACTAGGAGCCCTTAACTCTCTGCGATCACTAAGACACAGGAGATGATGACACTCTCCTCCTTTGGCCCACTCCCCACCCTGAACCACATTTCAGTATTACCTCTATCTTTCTCTAAATGCAATTTGCTCATTTGAAAAATATTTATGTTCTATTTCAGGGCTATCCTTGATGTTCATTTTAATCTTACATATCTGGCGTAAGAATGTTAGGAGAAGCCCAGTGGATTTTTCACGAATTGTGATCACACTGTACAAAATTTCCTTGTCTTCAAGGATGTTCTAAATGACATCCCTAGAATAAGTGCCCATATGACCTACAGTTTTTCTCTTGATATGAATCAAATCCAAATGGTAAAATTTCAAGATAAAACTTCCTTAGGCTGGATCCGTGTTACTTTCAAACTTTGGCTTTGAGATTTCATTCCACATAAGTATTATATTTGACTATTCAATGAACAACAACATTAAGGATACATTAGTCCTCAAACTTAAAAGGGAAGTAGTGGAAGCCTCACTTTAAATAATGAAAGCAGAGAAAAACGAAACCTTCCAAAATTTACTCATTTTGACAAATGTTTCGGCAAGACTTAAAAAATATTATTGTACAAGATATTTTAACAGCATTAATCAAAATAAAAAATTCTCCCATAACCCCACTTCCAAAACATAAAACTATTTTCAATTTTCTATGTTGTCTCTCCATCTGTCATATACAAATATCTATTTTATCTTATTGTTATAATGGTGTAGTTGCTTTCTTTACCCAACATAGTATCATAATTTCCCCACACATCTATGTTTGTACTAACTATTTTAGTGTTTGCTAAAGATTTCATTGAGTGTACATATCGGATGGGCTCTATTGCCATCACAATCATCAACGTGGTGCACACACTGCTGGGTTTTCTTATATGAAATCACCAATTTCTCTTCTCTTCTCCAATGTGTGTTTCAATATGACATTTCTTCCCCTGAGAGTCTATCAAGGGAGGCTCATGTCTCTCCTGACTCAGGTCCCTCTGAATTCTGGAAAAAGATAGCCCAAGTCTTGCCTAGCTTGGGACTAGTGTGATGCACATGGCCGAAAAGAGGTAGTAATCCTGTTCATTACCTAAGGAAGAGGCCTGCAGTTTCATTTATGCCTGAGTTCCATTTTTAGTTTTTTCCCTATCTGTCAGAGACCATAAAGAAGTCCAGCAACATTAGAAGAGAAGGCTTAGTAATCTTCTCAAAACGAGTGATACCTGAAGGTATCAGGCTACTTTTAATATCTGCCTTACTCCCCTTGCTACATAAAGTGACTGAAAGTCTAAGATCTTCTCTGAGTGAAAGTCACAAAAAATTGGACATCATTCTTCTTGTAGAATGACTTGCACAACTAATGAGATACACTTTTCCTCAAGTATACATGTTCTTGAGCTGCTGAAATCTAATTTGCATGCAGCTATTTCCTGCTAATATTTAATTTCTTCCTCAAGTGCCTGTTAGACTTTCAAGGACTTTATCCTTCTACAAAGTTATATTGTGCTCTTGAGTATGGTTTCCATAATGAAGTATTTGTGAGTAGGATGATATGTTTGTCACTCTGAACGAATTAGATTTTCTTTGCATTACGCATTCATTATATACTATTAGTATTGAGACAAATAACTATTATAAATTAATTTCAAACGTATGTCATTTATTGAAATGAACTAGGTATACATTATTTATAAAGTCATTTTCATTGTCCACAAAATTTCGTCACAGTTGTACATGTGTGTTGTGTAATGAGGTTCTGAGCTGTATGATGTTGGTGTTGACTAAGACCTCAGCATTTTCTTGCACTATTTAATGGTGATGGTTGTCAGTAGACTTCTGTTAATTAATGTTTGTTAATGAATATGTTAATTTTTATTCTCTTCGCATTCTTAAAGCCATCAATTTTTCCCAACTGTAGAAAAATTGAGTACTCAAAGCTTATAAATGATGATGAATGGCTATATTCTATTCCTTGGGGATGACTGCGGCAACATGTTTTCCGATTCCACTGTTTGAACGGACCTCACACTTATTTTCTCATGTACTGCTACACGGAGGTTATACGGCAAGCCACTAAATGGGTAAGGAGCTATTTGGGTACAAATAAAATGGTCTTGTTCTAGGACTTCATGACAGTTGTGGTTGGAATGTGACACACCAAGGCCTGGAGACATCCTAGAAGCCTCAAGACATCAGAGACCCCAGATTCTGGAGTCTTTGATCTCCATTTAGAATCACATGGTATTAGAGAAACAACGAACCTTAGAAATCATAGGGTTCAATTTGATTGTATTATAGATGAAGAGACTGAGGCTTATAGAAGAGAAGGAAGTATTGTCTTTGAGAGCTTGGGTATGTGTGAGACTCAGGAAAAGAATGTCCCGGAGGCAAATTTTACTCCCATCTGCCAAAGGTGTTGTCCTAGAATTAGGCTGCAGGAAGCTTTGCGGTCTACTTCATATTCCTTAAGGATATTCTTTGGAGTACCCTGAGTTGCTCACGAGATTACCAGGTTTAAAGCCAAAGTCTCCATTCTACACATAATGCTATTGTATAAGAAGTAAAAGAAACTTAGGCAGCAAGTGGTGGCCAGAATCTCTTCCTTTATACACCAGAATTCATTTAATTCTTAATTCTAAATTCTTGAAATAACTTATTAGCAAGTAGCCCAAACTAATCTTAGAGAAGTTATATTCTGCATAACGTTTACCTTTGCTTACACTTCGAATAGTTTGATGTTGAATTTGTAGGAGTGTTAAATATCCACAACATAGCCATGTATCCAAAAATTTTTTTCAAAAGTTATTACTATGCACATGTGCCTTATTCTATGTGAGATAGTACCACTGTTGGAATCTCACCCAGATTCTATATGGCCTATTTTATATTATGTGTAAAATAATGTTGCTGTTTTAGTAAGTTTCACACATCATTAGCAGCAGTTTTGTAGCATCATCTAGAAAATTGAGGAAATAAGGCTACTGGAAATATTAACACAGATTTAACTAAAAACATTCGGCAAGCTTGCCAGAACTTTCATTAGGCATTGAGACATGAAGATGAGTAAGACATGGTGTTTGGCTTTAAGGACTTAGTAGAAACGAGAAGAGCCAAGCAGGCAGTTTTTGAAGTAGGAGACAAAATTATGAAAACAGACAAAAAGGCTATACAAGCGTAGCAATCTGTTCTTTCTCAGTGCAAGACTGTTTCAAACTGAATAAAGGCACTCTGTGCTGTTATGGCACCTTATGTAAGATTCTGTCACTAGTGACACCATTCCTGTCTTTGCTGTCTGATAGTTTGACACCTTCACACTAGTACCAGCGCTGGTGTGTAATAGGTACTTAGGAAGTGTTTACTATTCTTCGCCTGCTGAATAAAGCATTCTTATCGATATCTCGATACAGCTGAGTCATGGATTTCATCTTGAGAAACCCGGTCATTATCACACAGTTAATTATGTTTTGCTATATTGTTTAAGCAGTCAGAGAAGTATGATATACCTTTAAGAAAATTTTTCATTAAAAATGGTTAACATAAAAAGTTTTGGTGCTACAAATGGTTGGCTTTTGTTACTTGGGACATTTAGTTATGGGCAACAGTTCTCTCCCTGATAAGGCTAGATAAAAAATCGTTGATTTACAGAGATTCCACCATTTTTATAACGTGTCCTTCGACAGAGGCAGCTCCAAGGATTGCTTGGAAGGACTTTAGCTATCCCCATATTTCCATCAACTCCTCCCTCCCCGACAAAGCTATTCTAAATCAACATACAAACTTTGAGTTTGCTTTGCAAATACAAATTTGGGACAAGTTCCTTAGTCTCATGCTTGTAGCTAGATTGAATATCTAAGCCAGTCTTCTAAAGATAGAAATTCTGGAGATTCCACTTCCCTGAGATCGACCAAATTGGAATATTGGTAACATAATAGAGAACAAATACGTATGGGGCCACCATCCAAAAAGTCGATTTGGTTTTTCCTTAAATACGTGACTTCAGCTCTAAGCTAAGATAGGATTTCCACTTTCTGATATCCTGGAGCATCTTACAGAATCACTCAGAGTCATAAACTGGCAGTGATTTTTTATGGGTTGAATGCATAGTAACAGTGTAGGTGTTATTTAGTTTTTTTCTTTGCCTGCCCACCTCCTAGAAGAAGAAATGGGTTGGGTGAACACAAAATTATAATCTAGTCAATTTTTTATATTTACTTAAGGTATTTCTTTTTAGTCTTAAATTCTAAGCATTCAAAAAGTTACGATGTTTCCATCTGGGTTTTGTTTGTTTGTTTTTTGTTTTTGACCAATAACCTGTATAGTAAGAATATCCATTTTTTCAACATTTAAAGAGCATTTAAACAATTTGAAAATAAAGTTTTCTCCTCTTATTTTATACAAATTGGGCTTTACCACATTTGTACTAAATTGAAAACAAAAACAAAAACAAACTATTACTAACTTTCCAGGATTAAAATCCCTCCTGCTCCCCCTCTTATTTTTCCATTGAGCTATGTTTATAATCTAAAGTGCAAACTGTGGCTAAAAAATTGATACAACCCACTCCCTGGAATTTGATTACCTAAGGCAACTAAGTTCTTCTATTCATTTCATTAGTTAGTTTAATAACAAGTTGGCTGAATTATGGTTTGTGTTTTGTATATTTTATTAAAAGAAAAGAAAAACTCCAACTAGAACTTAAACTAAGTCTGTAAAAAAAAAAGAGCAGGATCTTATAAGCAATTTTGTAATTGTCTCTGGCTTAAGGTGGATACAAAATCCTTACAATACACGTGCACACGCTTACCCATGGGAAACAGAACCCCTTTGTTCCCCAAGTTCTTTTTTATTTTAAAAAGTTCATTTCTCTTCCCCTCCACCACCTTTTTTTTTTAAACTTGGTCCCATTCTTCACCAGCAGAGAGGAAATTTAGCAACTTAGTCAGCAAAGTTCAGAATAGTTTCAATTAAAAGTCATCTAAAAATAAACAAAATTTCCTTTTCTCTTCTAAGAGCAAAATTTAAATACCTCAGGTATCCTGTCTCCTATTATGCCTCCATGATGTTTTTCTGTTTATAAAGTGTTCTACTAAATAAGTCTTAAATATATTTTTAAAAATTTGAAATCTGGTCCTTTAAGGAATCTTTGAGAGCCCAGCACGAGACTTATTAGGTTATTTTAGGTGACTGACACAAACTGTTTTATCTGTAATGGTGAGAACTAAAACCAACATCATTGTCAGCCCTGCTGGAGATTCTGAATTTTTCTTAGAACTTCTATTGATACACCTGCTCCACACTTCTCCCTCTTCTGGCAGAATTCTTAAGCTTTTATGCCTTCTGCCATCCTGCAACACACCAGAATGAGTGTTGATGGCCTTCCTTTTGTTTTCTCAAAGGGGTACTAACTAAAGCTGAAGTTTGCGGTCTCTCCCTGGCCCACAAATTTGGGCCAACACAGACTTTTAATGTGTTCTCACTAGTCATCTGCCAAAGCTCACTCTTGTCATTGCCGCTGGGAGTTGGCCGCAGTTGTGACTGTGTATGTGGGTGAGGCACATGGAGCACTGGGGGTGCTCATGGGCCAGTTAGGGGGATCTCTAGGTGAGGTATCCCCAGCAGCTCATAGGCTTCTCGATGGAATCTATGACATGGTTAGTAGAATCCACATCCATTTAATGCCCTTGGGGAGGCCTATTTGCCACTCTCTTAGCCTCTGAGCCCCCACCACCAAGTCATACAGCTCACCATCCAGTATTCTGAATGGGGCAAGGGTAAAATGAGTCTTTTTGGCAGCGACTGAACAGTTAAGGAATCCAGGTGTTCACTGATAAGGTCTCACTTTCCTCCTCATGAAAACTCACAGGCCAAGAAGATTTCTCTTGGCCCTAAGCTGTGCCACCTTGCAAGAAGAGCAAAGTCAAACTGTTCCTTTTACCCTCTCCAATGCGTCCACACTCATATCGTTTTGCCCGATGGTGTGCTGGAATTCTTCTGCTGGAAATCTGGACTTCCACAGTGTTTTCCAGGGGTTCCCAGACGGTGGCCAAGAAGCACTAGAGCCCATTCACAGGCCACTATAAGGTCCATAGCTGAGACTGAGATCTGGATGTGTGTTCCTGATGCACAAGTGAGTGAGACTTCTCTTGGTTCCCCTGGTGAATGCTGCCAGATCCCACAGGTTCCACAAAGGCACTTTTTGTTCATAGGTGGATGCCACATTGTTGTTGTTGAGGTGGGGAACATGAGCAAGGGATGTCTTATTCAGCCATGATGCTGATGTCATTGCTGTTCCTATGTTGTGAAATTCAAGGGCTGTGCATACTTTTTTCTTGTCTCTATATTTAACTATGATGAGAACAAGCAAAAATTACTTAAGATACTTGCTTTCTCCTAAAAGATAAGACTTTGAACCAGCTAAAATAGTTTGCTCATCAAAGCTTACTTCAAGACCCTGCTTTACTGGGCCTACCAATTCAAACTTATAATATCATTAAGCTCTGCCCAATCCCAAACAATTCCCTGCCTCAAAATCATCCAGTTCAGGCCCTACAACCTCATAAACATCATCCCTGAATTTACCCATTTTGAGACACTACTAAAGCTCTGTTAAGTTGGTGTTCTCTCTTATTACAGTAAGTCTACTAAACTTTGGTCAATAGGTTACTCTGGTTGTCTTTTAGGAGAGCCGATAGCTGAGAATGGAAAAATGATGTCTATGATTTTTTTTCCTTAGTGTAGCCTCAGAACACAGAAGAGTTGACAAAATGAGACTGTGGTCATTTCAGGGAAAAATCAAGCTATTTACCAATTCATCTATTGATGATGTGGAAAGTCAAATTCCTCCAACAGAATCATATATCTCAGGATTCAAAGGGACTTGAAATTTATCTAGTCCAATCCATCTGCTTGATTGATTGATTAATACAAATGGAGGACAGGCAAAAATTGGAGTAATTTTTTCCCCCACACGGCTGAAGAGGCCTCTTCAATGCAACAAAGGATTTTAGGTTTCTTCTCCACTTCCTCAACGCCCCTCTTCATTCTTTTCTTTTTTCCGGCCTTAGTGTACCATGTCCCTGTTTTTCTTCTTTGCAGACAACTAGAGGAAACATCAGTCCTTCATCGTGTTTTGGTGAAAGGAGTCTGTGTTGCCACAGGGCTTTAAGGGCTGGGTGTTTTCAACAAAAAGGATTTTTAAAAGACCTCCCATTCGGGCAACTAACATCTGGTTTCTATTATCTAAAAGGTCTCATTAACAAATAATATTGGAATGTTCACATGCCTATTTTTGAAGCTAAAGGAAAGTGAGGGTTAATTGTTTTTGTAAATAATGGGATAAACTTTCTAGCAGTGTAGGCTTTCCTATTCACTTCACATTGAGAATTTTAGAAAGACTGAGGGAAAAAAGTATTATATGTTATTTTTATTGGAAAAATAACTAGAATGGAGTTTTCTGGTTTAGAAGTTTTTTTTGGACATTTGTCTTTTAGCTAATTTATCATTTTAAAAATATAATTATCAGATTCTTAGTATATGTTAATTAGCTCAAATGTCACTTATTTGAAAAGAAAAATACAATTGATAGCAACTTTAGTAACAATTCACAAGTTGTTACAAGTTGCTGAGAAAAAGTCTATGAGTGCACATGTGACAAAGATTATTAGCAATCTTTTTATAAGTAAAAGTGAAAAGAAGTTGTACATGGCTCTAAGATTTTCCCACTGGACTCTGTGTGAAAATGGAGTGTTATAAAGAGCTGGCAACCTTTTATGAGTCTCAGAGTTTCTTCCTTTTTTTTTTTCACTGTTGACTACTTGCTCTTTCCACGTCACAGATAATTCACAACAGATGACTTCTTTGTATAGCTTTTATTTTTATTCTGGGATCGATGTTGATATATCCCACATTATTTTCAATTACAGAGTTTAATAATACACCCCTAAAAGTTTTTACATATGAAAGTCTGTATTTGCATGTGTGATGGTCGGAGTGTGTGTTTATAGTAATACAATGCACTCATTATGACACTGCATTGAGTCCAGATTTTTTCTAAACTGCAACTGAATGTGAATGTCCTAAATTTAAGTTAGAAATACAGATAAAGCCTATAGACTTTGTTTTTTAACAGGATCCACACAAACTACACTAACATTTTGTTCCTGAGGTTTTTTTTTTAATAATTTGTGTTTTACATGGAAAAAATGGTTGGATTTTTGGTTACTTCTATGTTAGTTTACTCTCAAGGACATAAAGGACTTGAAATGGTTTATAAAAATGCGGATAATGTGAGAAGGGAAAATTAGGAGCTCCAAATATATTTTGCACAAGATTCTACATAGTTTAAAGGTGCACTACACATTTAGCTCTGAGTCATAGAAGTCAAAGTTTTTTCCCATTTTACTTATAACTTTAATACTATGTGATCAGATTTTTTAAAAAATTCAAAGATCATTCATAAAAATATTCACTTTCTACTGATAATGATTTAATGCACAACTCAGTAAAGAAGTTTATCTTTTTCTTTATAAATGGACATTAAAAATTCTCTCAGAATCATGAACACCCTTGTGAGTACAACTACATTTACATTACATTATATGCAAAATCATAGTCTTAGATCTAAGTGAGAAAATAATTTAACTGAACATGTTACAAAAGTTTTGAACATAATTAAATGCTAAATAAAAACATTGGCTAAAAAATGCTTTGAGTTTTTTTGTTAATTGAGACTTTTAGTAAAAAGTTTTGACTATTTTAGAAACATCTCATTATAGCAAAGCTTAAAAAAGGATATGGTTCTCGCAATATTGCAGTGAATTTCATCTTGCTTTTTCTAGGGGCTTTGGAAATGCCAGCTAGTTCATGCATCTTAAGATAATGTAAAATTAGTGGACTCTGACTTCCAATATTTAAGAGCACACGGTAAAACTCTGGACCAGGACTACAATAATGGGACTGTGAGGGGAAGAAAAAAGTCAAGTCAGTTATTACTTCTGTATGTTTTTAAAGAACATTTAAAGAAAACATAACAGCATTATAGCTATAAATAATATTACTATATAATATATTAAAATAAATAAAAGTAAATTCTGCAAAACACCCTTTTAATTAAAGAAATTTACTAACTATGAGTCTATGAGTAATTTCATAAAGCTCTCCTACCCATTTGCTTTATCAGCAAGCTTGAAGATTGGTCAATAGAGATTATTCTATCTGAAGAATAGGAAGAAAAACAAATAAAGAAAAATTAATAGAGCCCTAGAAAAAGGGGCAGGAAAATATATATGAAGAAATAATGACTAAAACTTTCCAAATTTTATGAAAAACACATCCAAGAAGCTTAACTTCAGATAGGATAAATTCATACCTAGACATAGAGTCAAAGCACTGAAAGAAAAGAAAAATGAGAAATCTCAAAAACAGTAAGAGAAAACAACATATAAGGAAAACTTAATAAGATTAATAGCTAAATTCTTATCAGAACAAAGGGGTCAGAGGCAGTTAGATAACATAATTGAAGTGCCAATGGAAAAAACGGTTGACTACGAATTCCATGTCAGGGAAAAAATAACTATAAATATAATTAATCCAAGATTCTATTACTGGTTTCTTGTGGGAGACAGGTTCATTATAGCAACTACTCATATGTCGACTTTTCTTAATTTTTGGAATGTCTAGATTAGAGATTTATTATTGATTCCATTTCCTGTGGGGAAATAAGATTTTATTCTCATTCACTTTTACTGATACATAAAATTCTCTTGTGTTTATTTTGCTAATGGTCACTTTTTCATTGTATTCATTCATAGCTGCCTGAGAATTATTTTAAAAAGTGGGACTATGATAATCGAAAGCAATTCTTTGATAGTGAAAACTTAATGTCAATATCAGATGTATTTTCTATGTTATACATGATTTCCTTCATCTTAATCGTGCATGACAATTTACATCAGGTTATGTCTAGCCTGATTTTTAAATTGCATGCAAAACCAGGCCAAGCTCCATTTAAATTAAAAGGAAATTTTGCCTGTCTCAAAAGAACATTTTATGACCCCTTTTCTGGCTTTTGCCTTGAGTATTTTAAGATAGAAACTCTAGCTTACTGAGGTACTAGAAATAGACATTTCTGTTAGTTTTTCCTGCAGTTATCAGTTTCTAATTTAGGAAAACCACAGTTCACAGCTCTTTCTTCCTTAATCCCTGATTTTTAAAGAGTAATTCAACCAGGCAAGAGCAGAACGAGGTATTAAATACAGTGTTTTGTATAGCCTCAGCCATTTTCTTAGATACTTTAAAGCAGAAAGTCCCCTGTTGCCCAAAGAACTCTTGCTAGAGACATTCAAAAGAACCAAAATCATTAACAGAAGCCCCACTGCTTCCATTCACTTGATAGGACAGAAAATTGTCAGAGAACTTTGATTCCATAAAGAGGAATTTATAGTCAAAAATCAACTTAGTACTAAATTTGAAGAACCAAACAATCCTATAAGAAGAATCCTTCGAAGAGTCACAAGGGATGATACAGAAAGCCCAAGGGGTTGTTTCGGTGCTCAGTTTTTTTCTCTGATTCATTAAAGGGTGATTGCTGACAATGACTACAAAGCGAAACTCTGATTTTTTGAGGTTTTAATGTGTGTCCTGCCAATGCTCATATGGATATTAGGAAACTGGAGGCACCTCTTCAGCATTTAGACAACCTGGTGCTTAAAAATTCTTCTTTATGTGAAACTGAAACCTGTTTCCCTATAGTTTTCATTCACTGGTAAAAAAGTAAAGACCTTTTGGTTTGTATTGGTAAAAAACTTCTTTGAGCCACACAGAAAATGTCTATTCCTGCTTTCCTACAGTAGCTGTCTACATATTTGAAAAACAGTTAATAAGGCCTCCAGGATTTTTTCTTTTCTAGTAGAAATGTCTTTAAATATTTTGGCCATTGCTCAAACAATATGGCTTCATCATCCTGGTTATATTCTGTTCAGAATGCTTCTGTTTGTCTACACCCTTTACAATGCAACTCTCCAAAATGAATATAATACACAGTTATTGTTGAATCGGCATGGAATAAAGTCCATATGTCTATTTAAATAGCCCAAGAATACAGTAGAGTTTGGAGTGAACAACATTCTACAGTTGATACATACAGAACTTACTGTAAAAAATGGTTTCCAAGTCTTTTCAGATGTTCCTAAGACAAAGGTTTTTGTTCTATATTTATGCAGTTTTAATTTTGGACCTTTACACCTTTTCTGCAAAAGAAGTTTATCTTCTAAGATTAGGCCTATTACTCTAGCCTGTTGTGAACTTTGGCCATCCAATGTATTCATAATTCTTCCAAACTTTATGACTCCTACATTTGTAATAAAAATGGCAACCATGTTTTTATCTAAGTTGTTGATTTTTATCCAAGTTACTGGCTCTGTGTGGGACAGAGTCAACAACACAACACTATGGAACATTTACCAAAGATGTATCTGCAATTTGCTTTCTATCTTTTAATAGTGTCATCTAAAAAAGGTTGTTCAATCAGTTACAAATCCATCTGTCCACATTTATTCAACTTGTAAGCAAGGTAAAAAAGGCCATTTTTAGTGCTTGAAGATCAGATATATAATTTCTATTACATTTCTCTCATTTCTAAATCTAGCAATCTTGCCTCCCCTCAAATCATGTAATATTGTCATTTACTCCTAGAGATCATCAGTTTCTATCCTAGTACTTATAAACCATCCTTGGTAGCACTGTAAAAGCTGGAAGAGATTCTATATATCTGGATTATTAGAAAGCAAGAAATATGTGAATACCAACTTTCAGAAAGTGGTTTTTATATAAGGATAATTTAAAATTTCAAATAATGGTCAGATTAACTAGGTAATTCAGACAAAATTTTAGCAACACATTTAACACACTTAATTGTCTAATTAAGAGATCATACGCAGAATTTCAAGCCAATAACCTCATCAAATCTTGACTAAAGCAATGCAAGGTGGCAAGTCCGTAGGATCTCTGTTTTGGAGGCACCTTCAGGAAAGTGGAGAAACACAGCATTTAAGACTTAAGAGCAACAGTATCTACACGTAGTCAGCTATTCCAGGACTCTGGCTTAGGAAGCGAGGATAGGTCAACCATTGCTGAAAACTCCTTTGACGTTTTCTCTACAACTTCTACTGATGCTTATTGAGATCAGAGCCATGTTTTATGTCAGTTGAAAGACAGGCAGTACCAGAAGCATGAAAAAGGACAAATGCTGCGTTTTTTTTTTTTTCTTATTAGAGATGAGAATTTAAAAAAAAAAAACCAACTTCTTAATTTTAAGATTAACCTCTCCAATAAATCACTTTTGATGATTAATTTTTCTAAAATATATATCATGAATGAAATAACCAACATTGCCTATGTGAAGCTGTATAACTAATTATACTCCAAATTAAAGAAGTAAGAACATTAAAAAAAAAAATTAGTATATTCCAAACCTTTGTTGTTAGTCTTGACTCTTCCTTACATACAGACACTGTATTTGCTCTTGGATTCTTTAAAATTTTCTTCATATTGAAGTCTATAGCTAAAACATAAAATAAATATTTTCTTAAATTTTGGTATTTTTTTCTTCACAAAAAGGCATGGTATCCCCTATTTCTCCTAACAATGCGCCTTAAACATGAAGAAAGGCAAAGATGGATGAGAGGTGTTTAGGGTATTGTCATAGCTTGCCCCAGTGAGAGTATATAAATATTCCATCTCATTTTTACTTAATAGGGCTTTAGAGTTTATAAAATTCATTCACTTACATTACCTCATGTCATCTTCACAAACTATTCTGTGAGCTAAGTAACATTTCCCATAATTTACTCATGAGAAAACTAAAGTACAGGAAACTCTACTACTTGTTCTAAGTTGCCATTTATTAAAAGTAAATAGAGAGGATGTAGGCCTAGGTTTTTGGCTTCTGAGTCTAGAGCTCTTTCCATTACCCTCTAGTTAAATGTAAAGGAGGCTTGGGGCTCTGAACGTGAGTCCACCTTTTCTGTATACTGACAACACACTAGATAAGGAGAGACTTGGTAATTTTTCCTTGCAATCATCATGAATATAACTGAGGATACCTAGGGAATCTTGCCACACCTTAAAAGAAAGGAGAACCATAAGATTTAAACGACCACGTCAATCAGCCTAAAAGCTAGCTATTAAAAATATCTGAACAAACAGCAGAGAAAACAGATATTCTGAGAGGTTTGTAGTAGATTCTGGTACTGATTATCATCATCAGTTACAAAGTAGACTAATTAGATCTAGAGGTATGATGTTGATGAAAAACCTCTGAGGAGCTGAAGAAAGTCACTTGGATTAATTTTTGACATTAGACATTAAGAGACATTAAATATTAGCCTGAAATATAGAGGAAATTGAGCATTTATCTTTGGTAGAGATTAAAAAATTGGTTAGCAAGGGATCTTCCTTTAAAAATTTTGTGGCACCAAGGTTAGATTAAATTGAAGTTAGAATGTTCAAGAAAGGTAGTAAGCCACAAATTTTCTTTTCTGAGACTATATGTTACAGAACCTCCTACATAAGTATGAAAGAACATATGTACAAGTTTATTGATTGGGACATAATTTGTAAAATTTAGAGATTATAAACGACCCATGTATTTAACAGTCAAGTACTAGTTAAATAAATTAAGGCCCCCCCCATTTGAAAGAATACTATGCAGCTATAAAAAAAACCCAGGAAGATCCTCATACTTATGAAAAGAGATCTATAGGTCATATCATAAAGTAATAAAAGCAAGGTACAGACTAGCATATAGGTATATTATCTGATTGACTGCATACAGTATGCTACCTTTAGTATAAAAGAGAAAATAAGACTATATATTGTATTTGCTTTCATTTGTATAGAGAAACACTGGAAAGATAAGTAAGAAACTAATACAAATATTCTCTCTGGGAGGAATAATTAAACAATAAAACTTGCTCAATTTTGAATCATTCTTTAATACAAATTCAGGTGATATTACTTAATTTCTAGTTTTATGAATAGATAATAAAAAAGGACCTGTACTTCATGTCCACTGTGCCCACAATAAAAACCTTACTTTTAAGATCACTTGATTTAGGCATTTTTCTTAACATTTTGGGGAGATTACTTTCAGCACTTTTTCCTGTAAACTATATCTGTGTCTTCAAGGACCAAATCATTGCTCAGACAAGTTATAGATATAAAACACAAAGCATTTCTATGGTTTTTGTATGAAGAGCTAAGTGACAAATATATAAAATGAGGAACTGGTGTATTTATGAACTAAGGCTCTGTGGCATCAAACATTACAAATTTAAAACAAGTGTTTAAACTTGGCTTGATTAAAGGTATTGTTGAAGAAATTTTAAGTCTTTCCTATAGAATGAAAAACATTTAAAAAATCAACCACTAAATGGGTTCTGAAGCAAAAATCAGAACATATTGCTTTGTTCAGAGCAAAAATAACTAAAATAGAGATTAAAAGGATAATAGGAAGGATCCATGAGAATAAGAACTAGTTTATTGAAAAGATAAACAAAAGATAACCATTAGCCTAAATTACCAAGAGGAAGACTCAAAATCAGAAATGAAAGAGGAGACATTACAACTGATACCACAGAAACACAGATTATAAGAGAATATTAGAAATAATTATATGCCAACAAATTGAATAACCTAGAAGAAATGGATAAATTTCTAAAACATACAATTTAACCAAGACCGAATCAAGAAGAAATATATAGCCTGAAAAGACCAATAATAGACCAATAAGGAGATTGAGGTGGTAGAAAAAAATCTCCCATTAAAGAAAAGCTCAGGACCAGGTGGTGTGATGGCTGAAGTCTATCAAGCATTCAATGATGAGTTAATACCAATTCTTGAAAAACACTTCCAAATAGAAGCAGAGGGAACACTTCCAAACTCATTTTATAAGGCCAGCATCATCCTGAAACCAAAGCCAGATAAAGCACAAAAAAAGAAAACTATAAGCCAATATCTCTGATGAACACAGATGCAAAATTCCTCAATAAAATACTAGCAAACCAAATTCAACAACGCATCAAAAAGATTATACACTATAACCAAGTGAGATTTATCTCTGGATTCAAAGTTGGTTTAACATACGCAAATCAATTAATGTGATACATTACATAAACAGAATGAAAAATAAAAACCACATGATTATCTTAATAGATTTAGTAAAAGCATTTGATGAAGTTCAATATTCATTTATAATAAAAAAGAAACTCTCAATAAAATAGGTATAGAAGAAAATGTCCTTAACAAATAAAGGCATTTATGAAATAGCCATAGCTAACATTATAATCAATGGGGAAACACCGAAAACTTTTCCTCTACTATCCAGCACAAAGCAAGGATGCCCACTGTTGCCACTTCTATTAAACATAGTAATGGAAGTACTAGCAAGAGCAATCAGATAAGAAAAAGAAATAAGAGTCACCAAAATTGGAAAGAAAGAAGTGAAATGATTTCTGTTTGCAGATGACATAATTTTATATGTAGAAAACTCTAAAGGCACCATTATTAGAATAAAAGAATTCAGTAAAGTTGCAGGATATGAAATCAATATAAAAAATTAGTTGTGTTTTTTCACAATAATCTATTCAAAGAGGAAATCAGAAAAACAATTCCATTTATAATAGCATCAGAAAGAATAAAATATTTAGGAATAAATTTAACCACAGAGGTGAAAGATCCATACACTGAAAACTATAAAACACTGATGAAAGAAATTGAAGAAGACATATATGGAAAGATATCTCATGTTTATAAATTAGAAAAATCAATATTTTAAAAAATGTTCATTTAAATAGTGATATGCAAATTCAGTGCAAATCCTATCAAAATTCAAATAGTATTTCCCCACAGAAATAGAAAAACTACCATTTAATCTAGCAATCCCCCTTTTGGGTATATACCCAAAGTAAATGAAATCATTGTATGAAAGATATCTGCACTCCCATGTTCATTGCAGCATTATTCATGGTAGCCAAGACGTGGAAACAACCTAAGTGTCCTTTGATGGATGATTGAATGAAGATGATGTGGTACACACATACAATGGAATATTACTCATCCATAGAAAGGACGAAGTACTGCCATTTACAACAACATAGATGGATCTTGAGAGTATCATGCTATGCTAAATAAGTCAGAAGGAAGAAGACAAGAATCATATAATTTCACTCCTAAGTGATATAAAAACAGAAAGCAACAAACTCATTGACACAGATAATAGTTTGGTGGTTACCAGAAGGAAGAGAGGATTGAAGGAGAACAAGAGGGTAAAGAGGGTCAAATATATGATGATTGAAGGAGACTAGACTTTGGATGATGAGCACACAATGTACTATACAGATGATGTATTACAGAATTGTACACTTGAAACTTAAATAATGCTATTAACCAATGTCACCCCAATAAATTTAATGATAAAAAAAAATTCAAAGGGATGTAAATTATAACATAGGAAATACAGTCAATAATACTATAATAACTATATATGGTGTTAGATACTAGACTTATTGGGGTGATCACTTCATAAGGTATATTAATGTCTAATAGCTCTATTGTACACTTGAAAATAATATAAAATTGTATATTAAATATCATTAAAAAATAATTAAAAATTGTTTAGGTTTTAGATCCAAGATTTAAAAAAATAAGACAATAATATCTATTGCAGTGTTAATATTTTTCTTAAATCTTTCTCTTTACTTTCTTGCGATGTTTTGTACACTCTCTATTGTTACTTTGATAGGATGTTTTTTAATTTATTGGCATATTCATTTATTGGGACAATATTTTACATGTATTAGTCTATAAATATTATTCCATTTTTCAAACCATGGCTACTTTTTCTTTGAAAAATATCACAGCTATATTCATGGTAAAAGTTCCACTGAAAGCAGAGAATTTAGAGACCTTGAGATTCCTCTAAAAATGGCTCTGAAGGTATTTATTTCCTCTCTGAAGATGCCTCCTAAGACAACTCCACTCAGAGTTTAGGAGGGTTCTCATCCAGGCTAGGTCTTTTCCAATCCCACTCACCAAGAGTATGGATATAACTCCCACTTGACTGATAATTTAAAGCAGGGGTGACCAACCCCCATGCTACAGACCAGTACTGGTCTGTGGCCTGCTAGGAACCGGGCTGCACAGCAGGAGATGAGTGGCAGGCAAGCAAGTGAAGCTTCATCTGTATTTGCAACACTAGTATCACTGCCTCAGCTCCACCTCGGATCATCAGGTATTAGATTCTCTTTGGAGCACTGGTCCCTGATGCCGAAATGGTTGGGGACCGCTGGTTTAAAATACACACATGTGAAATTAACCTGCATTCCTGAAGCAGAGTAGTGTATTAGTTAAGCAGGTAGACCTTGGAGTTAGAAGAACACAGATCTAAATGCCAGCTCTGCCATTTGTAGACTAAAGAACCTTGGGAAAATTAATTTCTTTAAGCTTCTGTTTCTTCAAATACAATTTGGAGATGATAATAATTAGCTTATAGACTTGTTAACT